GTCCCGCGTGGCGCCCCCCGCCAGGTGAGGGCTGTTGGGCTCCTTCTTCCCCCCCTCTCCTTTCCTTCCCCGCCCCCGTGTAGGCCGCAGGCGGCAAAGGCCTTTCCGCCATTCCGGGGTTGGGCGACGCACCGGGGCGAGGGGGGTTGGCCCAGCCCGGCTGCTTTGAGCTCGGTTATAGCAAGGTCGGCGCTTGGCGGGAATGGAGGTGGATGTCTCCAGCATTTGCTGGGTGGCAGGGCCCGGCCATCCAGTGCCTGAGCGTTAAGGGCCTACTTAATCAGCCCCTTTTAGGCTATATCTCATTTCCCGCAAAATAGCACGCTTCTTTGGGATGTGGGGGCTGCGGCTAGTCCTTAAAACACAGCCAGGAGGAAGCCTGTAAACCTTACCCTGTTGTGCGTTAATTACTCACCAGAACATTGCGTTCCTGCCATCAGTGCGCAGGGTGTAATAAGGAGGAACTGCAACCGCATGCTCTTTGCAACTGGGTGGTCTCTGCCTGCTTTGAGTTTGGAGTGACAATGTGAGGTTTCTCTTTATGTCCTTGCAGTCGGGCACCACAAATGAGAGCTGCATCACCAGCGCCTGCTGCTCGGGCGCCTGTCCCGGCAGCAGCCCCAGCTTCTGCCGTGGCTGGAGGCACCGAAGCAGCCTGGTCTGATGGCACAGATGGCTACAACTGCTGCTGGAGTTGCTGTAGGCTCTGCTGTCGGCCATACCATAGGTCATGCGCTTACAGGAGGGTTTGGTGGAGGAAGCAGCTCTGAAGCTGCAAGGCCTGATATTACTTATCAGGTAAGAGAAAGCATAGCTGGATGCCAGCTAATGAGGCGCAGTTAACTTGGCAGATCAGTTTTTTATATATATAGGCTTAGGTAATTGCTATAGACATAAAAACCATGCAAGTAGCTGGGAAAGCACGGGTAACTGTAGAGACTCAGTCTCCATGGTAACTACCACAATCACCATGAGTGTCTTAAAAGTACTTCAAAGGGATGCATGAGTGCTTGCAGTAGGGTATTAGTGTTGTGTTCTGCTGTAGTACGCTCTGATTCAGACAGGACATGTTCCAGGCCTGATGACGGTAAGGTCTATTGCAAGACCCCTTTGTGCTGCTCACGCATTAAGATAATGCTGTTACCTTGCCCAGATGCTATCCAGAGTTACTGAAGTGTATCCAAAGTTACCTAAGTGTTTGTAACTTACAAAACTGTTCAGAATGTGTCATGCCACTGCTGGAAACTTTTGTACTTCAGCCCTTTTTTTTGTTTTCCATTTAAACAGTAACACAACATTTTGACTAAAACTCAGGGAGGAAATACAGAGCAGGCAGTACTTGGGGTGGTTTCATAGGAGCTGTGGAAGGGATGCTCATGAAAGTGTGTGCCATTTCAGGAGCCCCAGGCAGCTCAGCCTGCCTACCAGCAGCAGCAGTCGCAGTTTGCTCCTTGCCAGTATGAAATGAAACAATTCCTGGAGTGTGCGCAGAACCAGACTGACCTCAAGCTCTGCGAGGGCTTCAGTGAAGTGCTGAAGCAGTGCAGGTTTGCTAATGGTAAGTTGACAGTGCTACTGGGCAGCTACTAAATGAGTTAATCAGTAAAATTATCATGGGAAGTCCTGGGTTTTTTCAATCCATACGGTAAAGAATGGATTGATGCAGAGCACGTGCACTGAAGTAGGTTAGAGCAAGCTGCTGTTTTGTTTGGCTTCCTGTCTTGGTCTTGTACATGTAGCTGGAGGTGATGGGGTGGGGAGAGGAGGAATTCCTGAAGCTTTTGTGCTGCTGCATGGACAAAGCTGACAGTTTGGGAGAGCGGTGGCAGCAGGCTTGGAGAATCAGCACAGCGCTGCTGGCCTGCAGCAAGCACTGGTTTGGCACAACTCACAACCCATCCTGACCTGGGAGAAAGGAGACTGCCGAACACCAGTGTTGGGTGTTCAACACCTCCCAGCAAATAGATGAGGGGAGAGGGAGCACCCCAGATGTTAGCATACCTCTGCTTTACAGCAAGGAAGACCACCTGCCTTTCAGGGATTCCAAACTTACTGCAGTTAACCAATAACTTCTTACCTTACAGGTTTAGCCTAAGCCCTTGGAACAAGGTTGCTGAAGACCATCTTACAAGAACTGACCTATGAATGAAAAAAAAAAAGCTTCATTAATAAAGTCTAAAGCTGTCTGATCTTGTTAGTTCACATATCCGCGCTATTGTCCTCCTCATGGTGCAATTCCTGCCATAGCCACTACAGATGTGATACAATTTACAGCAGCAAATTAAGTTAGCACAAAATGGAAGAATGAACAATAAAGCAGAATGAGCTGATTTGGGTTAACTGGTTTGCTGATTGTTGTGTTGAATGTAAGTGATGTGGTGTATAAATAAACTTCTCTCTCTGAAGTACCGTGCTTTAGTGGACTTTGGAGTTGAGTGAAAGGTGAGCAGGCGAGACCTGATTTTGGCAAGTTCCTTTTGCCTGCAGGGCCTGAGCTACAGGAGGTGAGAAACGCCTGTGGCTCCATGGTTGGACATCTCCTGCCTGAGCCTTTGAACCCCACTGCTGATGGAAACACTCTGTGAGAAGGAAGCTGTGTCTTGTTCCATGCTGTACTGCCTGCAGTGGGGCTCTGTTCCCCAGCGGCATCTTCTCATCCCTTTAAAAACAAGCTCTGTGTTCAGATTCAAGAGATCTTGAGAAATCTTCCCTCTGCTCAGAGAGGATCTCGGTGGTCGGCCATTACCTGTGCTATGGAGCAGCTGTTCACTTGTGAGATAACAGCCTGACATCAGCCTCGCGGTTCCCAATAACAAGCAGAAGCTGTTGGGTTGTTTTTCTTCCTCCGTCTTGCAGTAGGAGTCTTGGACTGAAAAAGGTGGGAGGATTGAAGGTGTATTCTCATGGGGGGAGCGTGGCGGGGAATAACCTTGCACTGAAAATTGCCATTCCTGTTAAAAATACTTCCATAGCACGACCTGTTTTTCCTGAACTGTTTTTACGTTGTTGGGTATTCTGCCTGTTCCCAAGAGTCCCCGTCTGTGATCTGCAGTGCCTGGAAGTGAAAACATAAAAATCAGGATTCAAAATGGGGAGGGGTTACCTCAGGCCTGGCGGACAAGGACACAACCATCTTTCCTGGTGACACCACCAGTTTTGCTTCTGCTGTGGAAGTTCCCATCTCAGTTGCCAGGTGTCTCACTGTCCTGGTGAAAAGAAGTAAAATCAGTTTGGGCCAGAAACGCCCGCACTGGGCTGGTGCTGAGCTTGCAGCAGACATCCCTAAAATGCTCCCCGCGAGCAGGCAGGAGATGCGCTTAGGCTTTGGGGAAAGCGCAGCGTGGCCGCTAAAACAGTTCGCAACTCGCCGCGGTTGGAAAGCGACAACCCACGCAGGAAAGCCGGGAGGA